TCTTTATGGGGCTCCCCAAGGAGATTTACATTCTCGTCTAAGCGGACGACATTTTGCTACTGATCATAGAGAAGACCCTGAAGGCCATGAGGATAAAGCTCCAAGCTGCGGTCTCCACTGTTGGCCGATGGGTCGCTAGGACCGGCTTTGAGATATCTGCTGAAAAGAGCTCAATCTCCCACGTCTGCCGCCTTGGCCACCGACCACTTCCGACACCAATCAAAATTAACAGCCACACTATCCCTAGAAAGAAGACCATATCCATCCTCGGGGTCACGATTGACCGGAACTTTCGGTTCGGCACCCACCTTAATGATGTCAGGACTAATTGTCGAACACGATTGAACATCCTCCGCTCCCTCTCCGGGCAGCATAAAACGAGCAACAGGGCCATCGTACTCAATACCGCCAGAGCCATTGTTCATAGCCGACTGACCTACGGAATTGAGCTCCTCTGTGCGTCCAGCGATTCGGTCGTCACCCGACTAGCACCGATATATAACCAGGCAACACGAATTGCGGCTGGACTTCTGCCCTCAACACCAGCCGATACAGCCTGTATTGAAATCGGAGTGCTCCCTTTCCGATATTACATTGCGGAAACAATCTGTACCAGAGCCGTGGGCCTCGACGAAAAATTAAGTGGAGACGGAGAATTCTATCTCCTCACAGAAGGGAAACGAACCCTCCAGGAAATCGCTCACCAGGAGCTCCCCCCGGTGGCCCAGCTCCACTGGAACGGAGCCAGAGAGTGGGATTCTTCCCCCATCCGAGTAGACAAATCCATGGCCAAGCAGTTCCGAGCAGGAGACAACTCTACGGCAATGAGATCCTGCCTCACCGAATTATTACAAACACGGTACCACAACTATGAACTCCGTTTCACCGACGGCTCCAAGGCAGGAGGCAGGGTCGGCTTTGGAGTAACTGATGGACAGACCTCACACTTCTGGAGACTCCCCGATCAATGCTCGGTCTTCTCGGCCGAGACTGCAGCCCTCCATTACGCAGCTTCCCTACCATCCTCCTCCCCGCTTTGTGTACTAACCGACTCTGCTAGCGCCCTCGCGGCACTGGAATCCGCCACTGCCCGCCACCCCTGGATTCAGTCCATACAAAACCACACCCCCGCTGGCACCACTTTCATGTGGATACCGGGACACTGCGGAATTGCCGGAAACACAGAAGCAGACCACCTCGCTGCCATTGGACGAAATGGCCGACTCGCCAACAATTCGGTCCCCAGACAGGACCTGAAAAGTTGGATCAAGTCAACCCTGGAGCGCGAATGGTTCGCCAGGAGAGACCTTTTCATCCGGAAGACCAAAGGGGTAACCCTTCCCTGGACGGATGTCCCAAAGTTTAACGACCAGAGATTCCTGTCCCGGTTAAGAAGCGGCCACACCCGCATCACCCACAACATGGGGAGCAGCAGTGGCAGAAATTTCCGCCAAAGATGCGACACCTGCAGAACAATAATGACGGTCGAGCACATTCTTATAAACTGCCCTTGTTTCCACGGACCACGAGAACTTTACGGGATCCCGGGCAACATCCGAGACGCCCGGTAGCAGAGGCACAACTGATATGTTTCGCGAAGGAGGCCGGAATCTACAAGAGGGTTTAACCCATATACATTATGACAGTAGGCCCGGCATTCCCTGCCGGTAGCGGGTGCCAGGTCTCTCCTGGCAGCTGCTACCGGTGGGGCTCTGCTGGGGTCCTCAAAACAAAACAGAAAACACAAAAGATGACAGCAACATAGGACAGTAAGGCAAAATAAGTTCCCCTCTGGAACCGCAACCATCATTCAACTCCGCAAAATAAAAACTCTGTACCTTCTCTCCCTTTGGGATACCCCCTTCTGGGGTGTCCGGAGACGAACCAGCCCAGGGCTGAAAGTCTCCTTAATAAAGATATAAAAAAAAAGTTCTTCCCAAACCCAGTCGTCATAATCGAGTACCACTTGGTTGCACATCATTCTGCTATTTTACACAAAATGACACGAGCCTTTTGCAATATGAAATGATGCGTCGAAAATGCATCAAAGTTAATTGAACCGTAACCTGAAAAGATATAAAACAGTGCTGCTGTCTAGCCTCAACTCATTTTCACTTCGGAGCAGGCAGCAGAAGGAGCAATAGCAGCAATAGGAAGCTGGTGGTAGGTTAGGTAGTCCACTCTTCTACCTAACAAGCAACAATGACTGGCCGTGGCAAAGGAGGAAAAGGTCTTGGTAAAGAAGCCGCCAAGCATCGCCGTGGCGGTGTCAAACGTATCTCCGGTCTGATCTACGAGGTGTGCTAAAGGTGTTACTGGAAAATGAGATCCATGATGATGTCACCTACACTGAACACGCCTAGCGTAAGCGACCATGGATGTCATCTACGCTTTGAAGCACGGTTTCGGAGGTTAAATCATCACCAATTTTGGCAAAAAAAAAGGCTATTTTCATGGCCAACAAGCTTATTACAGTAAAGAGTTGGAATAGAATTTATCTGTGCCTGTTTATCCATATTCAGAACCACACGCTCCCAACGACCACACAAAATGCTCTCCAGAGTTGTAATCTTGTAATTAACTAGGAAGCAGGGTTGCAAGTGGTTTTGATCGATTCTCTTCATCAACTTTCTCTTTGAAAAAAAAAAAATACTTCAAATTTGGAACGCCTACAATTCAAAAACGGAAAGAGTTAAGATAATAGATGATCGTTCAATTAAAAGAACTAAATGCTCTTCACATTTTTTTTTTCCGTCCACTAGCGGTCCTACGTCAAACTTCGGTTTGTGCCCTAAGCACAGATCCTTCTACTTTTTTACATTTGTTGGTCAATTATTTTATGATATGGAATTAGGGTGGATATTGTTTTCAAAATATCATTTTCAAAATATTCATTTTATTTGAGATAGACAAACGCAATGTTGTACATTTTACAGCTGTACAAAGTTACTATCTCTAATGGTTCTCGATTTATGCTGGTTTTTGAAAGGTAACTTAGGTTGACCGCTAAAAACTCCTATTTGTACATTCACTTTTTATCCATTCATTTCTCGAACAAATAATTTCTTGACACTTTTAGAACTTTTGATGGCGCATGTTTTTGCTCAAGCAACTATAAGTAACTATCTCTTTATGTTGGAATGATATACACTGGATTATTTTTCAATGTTCATGGTCTAACAGTTCAACTAGCCGCCACTTAGCAATTTCAATATCCCTTAAAAATGGCTTGAATCGTTTAGGTAAGTGATCACATTTTCCCATGGATTTCGTCTCAAATTACTTTCCTCTCCCAATTTCCTCCTAATCCTGTTCGAATTAATTGTATATAAGCTAAGGTAAAGTTGATTTATTATCATGATAAATGATCATGCCCAATTATTAAGACAGCATTTTTCGCCCCATTGATAGAAATATAAAAACATTCCAGCGGAAAAATTCGGCCATGATGACCTAATTTGAAGTCTATGCAAACGAGAGAAGGAAAAAAAACAAAAAATTTTCCCATCATGCCGTTCCGGTCCATTAAAGGTACCGTTTGGCATCGATACACGTGCTGTGCAGTCTGTGTTGTCATGGTGGCTGCAGTGATCGCAATTATGGGGCGCTTTAATTATTTTTTTATTAACGTAAAATCCAGTTCGATTTTCAGTTAACCCATCGTAAAACAGATAGTTTGATTCTATTAATATTACTATCAAAATGCAAAACTCGAGTGCGCTTTTAAGTTCAGTGAAAGATTATAAGATGGGTTAACTGAAAATTCAATTGGAGCTATTAATCTCTGGTGGTAAGGTCTGGTTACCCTTCGGGGTAGTTTTTAGTGTGTAACCAGTTCCGGTATACCATCCCAAGTAACAATTTGAGATTTATGAGAGTTCTCTAGTCCATGTATTAGACTTATAGAACTCGTAAAACCTCAATAAAACTTGCAATGTTACTTGGGAAAACATCGCTGGCTGTGCTGAACCAAATCCACTCCGAACGATATGGCCTACTACACCTACAAAAGGTATAAGTTTAAAAGGAAACTAATTATATTGGAAAATTTATCCAATCTGTTGTGCTTGTGCTTTTCGGCTAAAGCTAATTTTCAAGCGATTCGTTGAATTGGGAACTCAATCTGTTCATGTTATACAGCTTCCGACCTTTCTTGCAGCGTGCAGCGGCAAAACATGGGATGAAGATGATGAATGGTTGTGGTAGGATGTTATTATTGCATTGTGTTCAAGCATTCAAATGTAATCATAGTTTTTGTGCGATCACACACCAAAAAAAATCATTCGGTGTTTACAGCTATTCATGAGGGAAAACACACAGTTAGTCAGCACAATCCCAATCCGCTGGCAACACTGTCCCCAAAACAAACCGAATCTGTACACCATGCTGCGTTGATAGCTACCGCAAATTGAAGATTTCGAACGTGTCTATATTTCTCGTCGGCCTCTTGCACAACCCATTCATTGGAATTATGATGGTAATTTATTCCGTACGACACGCTCTCAACGCGAATGTATTCACTGATTTCACTGGTAGAGCCGGTGTGAACTCTCTTCTTCTCGGATACATAGTAGTGTAGTATAGAGTTCCTGCTCAGCTCGATCACGATCACGACTATTGTCGTTGTTATTCGTAAGCGACAGGTGTTTTGTGGAAGTAGGGGAAGGGGGACGATCGGCACCGACAACACAGTTCCTAAACAAACACATACTTTAGTGGCAGCAATCAGGCGAGCGCACTCTTACACAATAATCGTCCACTCGAATTCACTGTGGAGAGAGCATCCAAATTAATCTAATTACGGTGACGATGACGATGACAACACCACCGTTCATTTAACATGGGTCTGTTCTATTGCGAAACTAGGCTAATGGCTGATAAGAGCAACCTGTTGCAACTCGTTGCTTTATTTATAGTTTGTTTGACGTTAACACATCCGCGGGCTAAGGGCGACGATGATGATGACAAAAACCATTCGAATCTATTTCACAGTGCGCTAC